GCGGGCGCCCGGCCCCAGGGCCTTTCCCGGCCCCCCTGGCCCGGCCCAGGCGCGCGTCCTTCCCCGGCCCCAGGTTTCCCTTTCTTGGACTCGCTCCCCCCTCCTGCCGACGCCCAGGCTGGGGGAGCTCGGGTTGCGCCTCTAGGGGCCCCGAAGCTGCACCATCGGCCCAGGACCCCGAGGTCGGGGTTCGATTCCCGGTGGGGCCCGTGCCCGGGGCTGCGGGAGGCCGCCCATCATCATCAAGGATGTTTCTCTCTCTCCCCCCTTCTCCCTCCCTCGCCCTGAAATCAATAAAAACATGTAAAAATAAATTAACACAGGGCCTGACATGGCCCAGGTCCCTGCTCGGGCCAGTGGGACAGAGGCCGGAGCGTTTCACCAGCAGGAAGGAAGCGGGGCCAGCGGCAGGGCGGCCTCTGGGTGGGTGTTTTCGCTCTTATTTTGATGTTTTGTTTTGTTGGTGCTCGTTAGCTGACCTCTAAAAACAGCTGCCAAGCTGACCAAGAAAAAAAAAAAGTCCATGGGGAAAAATCTCAAAAATTGAGCACTGAGATCAAGACGCAAAATATGGGAGGACCCGAGAGCAACGGAACTTTATAACGGGATCCATTTGGACTGGTTGTGGGATCACGTTTAATTCTGGAACAAGGCCTTTTTGGCAAACTGGAACTATCACGGATGTGCATGCGCCTGAAGTTTGGGTTGACAGGCGGGGACAACCCCGAGGCCACCAGGCCTTAGCCCTCGGGGAGCAGAGTCTGTTTTGCCCCCTGTGAGCAAGTCGACTGTGGACGTTTAGTGTGAAGAGCTGTCCGCCCGTGAACAGCACGTATGGACACAGACAAGGAACCGGCTCCTTTGTGTCCCATGGGATGGTCCCGCACCCCCAGGAGCCTTTCTGTGCTTTATTTAAGTTTTCCTCTCAATTTTCCTTTCCTCCCACCCCCTCCTTACACGGCGCTGGGGCATCCGAGCTCCGTGGAGCTTAACTGGGCGCCAAGCACTGAGGATTCAACTTCCTCCTTGGTGAAGAGCAAAGTCTCTTATATTTTTGGGCTCCCATTTCAAATTCCCAGGACAGAGAACCAGACGATCCCAACTCAGGTGGGTTCTTCCATCCAGTGGTCTTGCCTATGGCTTCAAGAGGAGAAGCCCGGAGCTGGGAAGATGCTCCAGAGAGGTCTTTGGAGGAACGAGTAGCAGATTTATTTATTTAAAGAAGCCACAGTCCTCAGCACTCGCACAGGAAAAAAGGAAATGACCCTACCGTCCTCCTAGGGAAGTAAAAGCAGAAAGGGGGGGTTTCACAACTATAAATGTGGCAATGAATAAATAATGAAATGGAAAAAATAACATTTATTTTGCAAGAGATACCGGTTTTTGAACCCCTGTTTAAGCAAACACACTAGGTAGACCGCTCGGGCGGTTAAGAAGAAAGAAAACGAAATGAGCATAGTAGGAACGCAGGGGAGGAAAGGAGCATGGATTATAAAGGGCCCAACAGAGAAAGAAGATTTCGTACAAGTCTCCATTAATAACTCTGCACGGCACAAGATAACTGTGAACTTGGAAAATAAGAATGAAAAAAACAGATCCAGAAAGAGCGATGATTCTGTAACACGAATCCCAGGAAAGAAGAGGAGACAGGTCTGGAAAACACCGGCGAGTTTTATAAGTACCTGCTTTACCGAGGAGCAGGGAAACCCTCAGCACACGGGCCTCTGTTTCTCTTCTCTACAAGTTCTTTGAGGCACGTTTGTGGGCTTCTGACCCGAGGTGTTGTCTGTTGGATCGTGACGTTGATTTTCTCTCTTATAAGAAATGCAGTTTCTATAGCTCCCTGTGAGGAAAGTGTTAACACAGCAGGAACAGAGACTCACTCCTGGCATCTCTCCAGGGGAGCCTGGACCCAGGACTGAGCCTGGCCGAGCCTCGCCACCTGGCCCTGGAAAGATTCTTGATATTATCCGTTGATGGTCTGTGTGTGCACCTGGAGCATGCAGCACCTGAAGCCTCACCATCCTGTCCTGGCTCCTCCACACAAACGTCAAGTCCAGGAATGGGCAGCTCAGGGGGGGTCCTGAGTCTTATGAGTTCTTATGGCCAGTCAGCAAACACGAGGGTCATCTTGAGACTCATAAAACACAACACACACACACACACACGAAAATTAAGTTAAAATGTCAGGGAACTGTTATTATGAAGCACTTCAGGATTCACTTCATTTCTTTCAACATGAGCACACACTTACAGCTCTGTAAATTAGTAAAATTACGCTCGTTACACGAATTAAACCTACCGGCAAGTTAGTGAACAGGAGAGTCAAAGATGATATTTGCAACACACATAACCAAGAAAGTGCAGGGCACACAACCAGTTCTTACAAATCAATCATAAAAATGCAGAAAACCCAACACAAAAACCTGGTTCACACACGTGCACGTATGTTGACCAAAAGACACGTACAAGGAATTTCATAGCTGAGAGCAAAGCATTGCAAATGCTCACCAAGCAGAACAGTAAATAAACTGTGGGGGTTTTTTTATATGTTTTTATTGATTTCAGAGAGAGGAAGGGAGAGAGAGAGAGAGAAACATCAATGGTGAGAGAGTCATTGGCTGCCTGCACGCCCCCTACTGGGGATCGATGGAGCCCACAACCCGGGCATGTGCCAGGGCTGGGAATCGAACCGTGACCTCCGGGTTCATGGGTCAATGCTCAGCCGCTGGGCCACGCCGGCCGGGCAACTGTGGCCTATTTAAACTGTGGAATCCTAGATCGTTGTAAATATGAGCAAGCCGCTACTAAACTCAACGTAATGGACACATCTGCAAATGCTGAGTGAAAGGAGCCGTGCGAGTCCACCTAAAATTTAAAGACAGGCAAACCTGTAGTGTGTTTGTAGAAAACAGCCCGGGGTCATCTTTGGGGCAGAGGGAGGCTTTGGGGCCTTGGAGAAGGTCTTGGAGATTTCCAGGTCTTGGTAAAGATTTTTGTTTTGATTTTTTTTTTTTTAACAAGATGGTTGTTACCGACAAGCGTTCATTCTGTCAAAAGTTCGTGTGCGGTGCATCTAGGAGCGAGGGTGCCTTTGTGAGATCACGCACTTTTCTTTACGCATCGTGTGCGTCGAAGAAAGATTCACCAGAGGAAACACGAGATGGTTGCAAGTAACTAAGCCGATTCCACAACCCACTAACCCACATCGCAGCCCACGGT